CGATGTCGGAGTTCCGAGATGTTTTGCTTGTCACTTTGTTGCCTCAGGTTGAAGTCTCCAAAGGCTGACAGCTTCTCACGAGTCATCTTCATTCTTCCCAGTTTTCGATCCTCAGATTCAACTCACTTCTAACATGTTCCGCCCACGAGCACTGCAGGCTTGCACCCATTGTCGAGCTCGGAAAGTCCGATGCGACGTCATTCGAAACGGTGTGCCATGCTCAAACTGCGTTTTTGATTGCAAGACCTGCCATGTGAGTCGACAGGCGCCACGCGGGCAAGGATTCAAGTCAACAAAGCCTGAGTACCCGCTAACATTTTTAGCTAGCGAGAAATATCGCAGGGCTGAGAAGCAGAGGAAAGATCAAGACTCGTCAACTTCACCTGACATCGCTTGGTCAATTGAAGAGGGCCGACTTGTTGATGACCCCGGCTTGGCAAGGTCATCAATAGATTTCTTGCCAGATATTACGGATAAGGTCGAATATGAACTGACTTCAAAGCTGGAGCCTTTCATGCTATGGTCACACTACCACTTTCTCAGTGTCTCTCAGTGCAGTCGACTTCCCCAACGTGGTATGGATGCAAGGGATCAACACGATTGTCTTTCTGTCCCCAGACGCCCACTACTAGATCAGTTGATCTCCGAATACTTTTTACACGTTCATCCAAGCCTTCCAGTCATGGACGAGGGCGAGTTTTGGGGAATATATCGGGGAAAATCGTCCGGGAGAATATCCTTGATTTCCCTTCAGGCAATGATCTTCGCCTCTTGCAGTGTATTTGCAGCCTTCCCTTTTTGAGCTTCCTGAGCTGACGCAGTAGAGCCTCACCAGTACGTCAATTACCAGTGCATTAAAGATCTGGGGTTCAACTCTGTTCGCGCTGCAAGGGTAACCTTCTATAACCGAGCCAAGGTGAGTGGGCTCTTCCGGTTGGAGACGATGAGCTTAGAACTTACTGGCCTATCAGATACTTTATGATCTGAACAGTGATCACAACCAGCTCCAGTCTGCTCAGTGTGCACTGATATTCACTTATTACGTTTCGGCCCGTTGTGCAAGTACCAACACCTACTGGTTAGCTGTTGCTGTTCACCACGCACGAGAGGCTCAGGCTCATTGTTACTATCAGCTTGATCAAGCCAAAGCAGCCATCTGCAAACGAGTGTGGTGGTCTTGCATATGTCGTGATCGTCTCCTGGCTCTGGGATTACGCCGCGCTCTGCATATCGGGTTTGGTGATTTTGACTTCACGCAGCCAGTACCAACATTTAGCGACTTTGAGAACGAAGTACATGGCTCTGACGTTTACGAAGCTGATACAAAAAGAGCCCTGATCTCCTTGTTTGCTGCTCAATGCGAACTGGCAGTTACTCTGACAGACTCTCTCAGTTCCCTCTTTCCCCGCTACCTTCCAGTTTCCGTGAATTCGGGTGTTTTGTCAACTTTTGTCTCACAGCTGGAGAATTGGTTCAAACTGAACTGCACTCCCGTCTGTCCTTTTCATCGACAAGCGAGTGAACAAGACAAGTCGGTTTTTTTGTATACCAATCTCTTATTGGCGTATTATCAGTAAGTAACCAATCTGCACCTGGGCGCCTGGGCATAAACCACCTCGCTGTCTGTCACTGACAGATCTACTTTCTAGCAGCGCGCAAATTGTTTTGCTCAACCACGCGATATCTCTTTCTGTCGAAAACAGCATAAATGGCGAGAGCCATCATTTTGATATTGTGCTGGACGGAATGAAATATCAATTGACAAACATCATCAAGGGGATGGACACCATACTCCAGGAGGTTGAACAGATGGAACTTCTGCGGTTTCTTCCAATCACCATGTACGATCCACATCTTCCCCGAGAGTGACACAACCGATGCTTATAGTGATTTAGGGTTGCATACATCACATTCCCTACGGCTTGGTATATGATAAGCAACCGGATTTCACCAATGTCAGAGTCTGAGCCCAATCCAAAATTAAAGCTCTATCTTAGTGTGATGGACTCCCTGAAGTTACAGTATGAAGGCACCGAAGAACTCCTCGATCGACTCAAAACTATCGTCAGCCAGCTGCAGTTCCAACATTTGATCCAAGGCGGCATTTTTGAAGGTTTCGATTGCACCTCGCCACCAGCTTGCGGTCAAAATGGACACCCGCCAACAGGAACAAGAGTGAACATGAATCTTTCAGATATAGCGATCTTCCATCCAGGGAAGTATCTCCTGATCACATGGTCTATTGACTCTTGTCTCTCCAAAGGACGTCTTCCCGACAATTCGGCTCTGCAAGGTCTCAAAAACATTATATTTCTGCCTCCTTCCAACGCAGAGATTGTCTCACCGAGCATTGTCTCGGATAGTTTCCAAAGATACGCCGTTCCGGATGACTTTGCCCTCTATGACCTTGCAATTGAGCTTGGGCTTCTAGGGACCACCCCAAACTACAACACGCACGACGAAAATGCACTTGACGCAGTTGGTGCCACTCATGCTGTGTTTGACTTGCCAGGGCTTTTATACTGCGAGAATGAGGATGAGCCGGCCGCCTATACCCCAGGAACAGATCCATCTATAGACCAGTAGTGAATTAGCTCAAAGGCGTCTCACATTAAAGAGAATACTCCTACTTTCAAGTTGCACGTCGGAATATTCGAGAACCATAGATACATTTCCAAATCGATCTAGGACAGCTCACGATGGTAATCACCGTAGCTTGGATGCTATTTCAATGCTTCAAACACAATCGTGATGATTGATTGACCTTCTGAGTTTCAGAGTGAAGCTTTTGCCTTCGTAGCCCTGCTGCTACTTGCTGGTTGGAATGTCAGAATGGAGAATTGAATACACATGTGGGCTTGCAGGACCATTTGATAGTAATTAACACACCTTTCAATAGCATTTGTGCCTTGGATCTGAATCGCTCTAATGGTACACCCTCCACAAAGCGCTCCGCCAAAGCGTGGGCGGCATTGAACATGGCGAGCATCCTTTGGTTCCTTGAATGAACATTCTGAAGTTCCTTGGTCTTGATCATACTCATTCCATCATTGGCTGCCAGTTGCTCCTGCAAAAACCTCACAACTTGTTCATGAAATCCTTCTGCAGGAAATATATGGTTCACAAGACCCCAGGACTTCATTTCCTCAACAGAACACTTGCGACCAAACATGAGGAACTCGTTGGCTCGATGGGCTCCTATTGACTCAGAAAATGTGCGTACTGCTCCATATTCCGGAACAAGCCCAAGTGAGCTAAATGGAGCTTGCATGTATGCCCCAGCTGCAGCAAAGATGATATCAGCAATCCCATGAAACCAAGCAGCACCGCCACCAACCGCAGAACCGTTCATTGCGAGAACAAAGACTTTCCGATGATCGATCATGGATCGAAAGAGCTCCATCTCTGATTATCGATTAGTCCTCTTCCGTCAGGATTCAATCAAACTAGCTTCACTGTGGGTGAACTCTTACCGCGGGAGAATTCACGCATATAGAAAAGCTTCTTTTGGGCCGCAGGACAATCCAATGGAGGCGTTTTGATATCTTCTGCAACGCAAATTAGATCTTTCTCTAGGACCCCGATCGACCACGGAGGGACCTGTTCCAAGTTTATGGCAGTGCTTTACCTCGAATATCTGCGCCCGCAGAAAAGAACCGTCCTTCTCCGGTTAGGACAGTAAAGATTGTAAGGGGGTTCTCATGGAGCTCGCGGAACGCCGTGACCATGTCTGTGATAAGGGTATCATTCCATGCGTTCAAAGCTTCCGGTCGATTCAACTGTGTCGAGGTAAGATTCCGAAATGCCGTCAACAATCAAACCTTGAAGAAGACAGAAACCTTTATAATACCGATTACACCTTGAATCTCAAGTGAAACATGTGTGTAAGTAGAGACCATGGCTATCATATCCCAAACTAGAAATTCGTCGACGCCAATGGTTCAACTTGGAAGTAGATTTCACGCCCGGGCGGTCGCTTATACCAAAATTAGACCCCAATTTGGAACCCTCAATGGAAAATACTACTAGGTATATGAATAAATATATTTCTCGCTCATCCATGGGCCTCGGAGGCACCTCGGCCCGCGGGCAAAGGCAAGAAGTACCTAAGTAGATACCACCTGGGCTCCACAGTCCACAGGTGTTCTGGCCCACCTGGAATCGGGGGTTTTGGCCCCTCCCGAGGTCACTAATTTTTCTTTGTTCCAATGATCATGTGGACAAATATGAAGCAACGTGTGCCTTCGGGATTACATAGGTACCTAGTAAGCCCGAACCAACCCTGGTCTTGGTCTTGTGTGGGGCCACATGGCTATGAGATCGGACTACTTGTGAAGCGTTTCTTCGTATGCCAATGTTCGCATCGCATAGAAACCGTCTTTTCAACTCTACGGAGTAGTAAGGTGAGAGTTGGCCCCATCCCCAAATTGGTGGGGAACCCACAATACGGGGAGTGTCGGGTAGAGCAAAAGTACCATGTACAGTGACAGTACGGCTAGTATTGTCAGGTACTCAGTTTTACCAGCACGTAAAATGCTTGGTCTTGGAAGGTTGACTGAGGTCTGTGTTGTTGCCTTACGTTACAGGCAGCACGTCAATTATCTGATGCCTCAGGCATACATACTCTCACCGCAAGCTTGACCAGAGCTCTGTTTCTTCCCTCTTCTGTTCCGTGGTGAGTCTATCCTGTGCAGATATGGCAGACTAGTGATTTTGCTTTTACTGGTGAGCTTGACCATCGGAGTTACACGCCAGCGAATGGATTTTCAACAGACGTCCACTGGTGCTGCCCGGGGTGTCTCCCTGGGCTCCACTTAGCAATGACTTCCGGGTGAAAGTATACCGACCCTGGGAGGAGCCAACACGCCTAGGCATACGCCTAGGTCCCGACGTCTTCTTCTCTGGTTACTTAACCCTACTTCCGCCGAAAAGGCCCAATTCATCATCTCGTCTTGTTTGCACATCGATCCTTTTGGTCCAGCGATAAAGAAAAGTTGCCAATGACACCTGCAAGTCTTGTCCGGGTGGCCGATGTCAAATTCGAACATTACAGACCTCTTTACACCCTTGGCGTGGATGATCTGCGACCACGGATATCTTGGAAAATCTCTGGCACCAATGCCAACTCCTTTCGCCAGGAGGGCTACGAGATCGAGGTTTTCAAGCACATCGGGTCGCCCAAGAACAATGAAGGAACAGGGGAGAGCCGTACCCTTCTAGGGTCAGCAAGGGTCGTTTCAAACTCGGCGCGGCTGGTACCATGGCCTCTCCAGCAATCCCTTCAACCACGTGAACGGATATCTGTTCGTTTAAGAGCATTTTCAGCCGAAGCCACCACGACGTGGAGTGACGATGCAGTCTACGAGCTTGGCCTGGTCATGAGAAAAAATTGGCATGGCGAAAGAATCGTCTCAAGCCGGCTCTCAGAAGGCTCGACTTCCTCTCCTCAAGAGACCCTTTATCGCCGATCCTTCCAAATCAAGACCGAATCCCCAATCACACGTGCAAGATTGTATCTCGTTGTGCAAGGAGTTTACCGTGTACAACTGAACGGCCATGAAGTTAGCGAAGATGTTTTACAACCTGGATGGACGGTTTACAACGACAGGATCAGATACCAGACATACGACGTTCAAGATCTGCTTCTACAGCCCGGATTCAACTGCGTTGGGATTTCTCTCGCGGACGGGTGGTTCTGTGGTCGAATTGGATTCATGAGGGGACGACGAAACCGGTGGGGGCCATACCCAACTCTGCTGTCCCAACTTGAGATCACATATAGCAACGGTAGCCATCAAGTGATTTGTTCGGACCGAGAGTGGCTTGCAAGGCCAGGTCCCGCCTTTAAAGCCGAGCTATATGATGGGGAGAGGTATGATTTCAACGCCGAAACACGAGGCTGGTCCGAAGCATTTTCCGACCAGAATTCCGACGACCTAGGCTGGGAGAAAGTCACCGTGCTTAGCCAACTGCCAGACTCTGTCAAGTTCACAGCGGGGCATTCAGAGCCAGTGCGACCTATTGAAATTCTCAAACCGGTGAAGCTTATCAAATCTCCATCTGGCAAGAATATCCTTGACTTTGGTCAGAACTTTGCCGGATTTGTCCGTCTTACGGAGATTGCCGGCTCAAAGGGTCACACTATAACCCTGCGACATGCCGAGGTTCTCGAAGATGGTGAGCTTGCTTTGAGACCTCTGCGCGTCTGCGAAGCAAAAGATGAGTTTGTGTTTGGCGACAAAGCCACAACTTCATGGGAGCCTAGATTCACATATCATGGTTTTCGATATTGTCAGGTCGATGGTCTCTTGGAAAAAGACCTTCTGGAGTCTGTTGAAGGGGTTGCTTGTCATAACGACTTTGAGTCTGTTGGCGAGTTTTCCTGTTCCAATACCCAACTAAATCAACTATACAGCAACGCAAAGTGGAGTATGAGAGGAAACTTCTTCTCTATCCCAACAGACTGTCCGCAGCGCGACGAGCGACTAGGATGGACTGGGGACATCGCATTATTTGCGTCCACTGCTCTAAAGCTTTATGACTGCTATGGCTTCCTTAAAGATTGGATGATTGACGTTGTGAACGACCAAAACAAACGCGGCGGAGTCCCAGCCTACGTCACACCTGATATGTTTGACGATGCTGGAATTTGGGCCAAAGTTCTTCCAGTCGCGGTATGGCATGATGCTGTAATTCTTGTTCCCTGGGCTTTGTTCGAGGCATCGGGAGACATAGAAATACTCCGTCTGAACTATAAAAACATGAAGAAATGGTTGGAGGTGATACCACGCGACGACAAATATCAGCGGAGACTTTGGAGTAGAGACTCATTCCAACTTGGCGTAAGTATTTTAGATTTGGATATACTGCCTGGCTTGTGGCTGTCCGCTAATTCTCACAGGACTGGCTTGATCCAACTGCGCGGCCTGAGCAGCCCATGGATGGGCAGACAGACCCATTACTTGTCGCTGATGCTTTCTTGGTCCATTCCCTTGACTTGATGAGCCGCATTGCGACAATACTAGACATTCATGAGGATGCGCGGAGATTTAAATCTGATGTTGCCGCAACCCGCCAGCAATTTTTGGATGAATATGTTACTGCCAATGGTCGCCTCAGCTCTGACTCCCAAACCTCGTATGCTTTGGCTATTGTGTTCGATTTGTTGCAAACGCCGCATCAGACTGCATCCGCGGGAGCCAGACTAGCGACACTCATTCGTCGTAACGGCTTCAAAGTCGGTACTGGGTTCGCAGGTACACCATTTCTTTGTGAAGCGCTCCTCCGCACCGGCCACTATCAAGTGGCCTATGCAACTTTACTATGTGAAGACTGTCCCTCTTGGCTTTACCCTATTACACTAGGTGCTACCACAATGTGGGAGAGATGGGACAGTATGTTGCCAAATGCCAAAGTAAATCCTGGCGAGATGACATCTTTCAATCACTATTGCTTTGGCACAATTGTCTCGTTCCTTTGCGAAAGGCTAGCGGGTCTGCAGTGTATTGAGCCAGGGTGGAAGAGCTGTCGGGTTGCTCCACAGCCTGGCGGAGATATTACATTTGCGCAGGTAAAGCAGCGAACGCCGTATGGATGTGTGTCTGTTGAGTGGAATCTTGAAAAGGAAAGGTTTAGCATGAAAGTGGAGATCCCCCCAGGCGTTACTGCAGAGATCTTTCTTCCTTCGGGCACTAGTGGTCCTGTCGTCGTCGGTGGTGGTCAATGGTCCTTTGATTGCGACTACCAGGAGGATCAGGCTTGGCCGGTCGAGCCCATTGCAGCCTTTCCAGACTTGATTTAGAGGAAGCACCGGAGCCTCACACACGTCGCGGAATGAATTGGTATCTAGTAGTCTATTTGTACTTAGTAGTCAAAGGAGCACGTTTGTTTGCTGAACAGAATCAAATTAACCCTAGGTATATTTGTGTCCGCGTTTATGCAATCTTACGCTTCAACTGGAAATTGTGACCCGCTATGGGGCTTTAGGACACTTTGCTTTATTGGTGTTTTCATATTGTATGCACCACGGTTATCGTACCTAGTAAGTCGTGATTTGATAAGATGTCCATTGGAAATTTTGATTGCCATTTGTCTTGATTGTTTAACAGAAACCCGTACTAGGTAATTGTGGGCTGATTGTGGATTTGATCCTGCTACAGGGGTCCATGGGTGTTTTCCTAGATCTCGGGTTATCCGCATTTGTGGACCATTATTGTAAGCAGTAGGAGTCCATCTTTCGAGGTGGGACACGGCTTTCAAACATTTGGTTGATCTCGGAGTATGCACGGTCTTTCAACTCAGGAATGTACCAGAATGAGACAATTGTCGCGAGAAGCGAAGCTCCCCCAAAGACGAATCCCACTTTTCCCTTTAGGTTCTGGAAAGCGTGTTAGCCAAACAATGATCATAGCACCTGGGCGGGCGTTGGTTCTGAAGTACTTACAGCGGCATCCGGGTTTACCATGTAAGGAATCGCAACTTGGAAAACAACTCCCATTACTGCTTGTGTAGCGGTTGCAAGAGCCGTAGTTCGTGCCCGTAGTTCGACAGAGGACACCTCACCCAAGAGAACAAAGGAGATAGCCCCAAGCGTGAGGAAGTAGACGAACGCATAAATCACGCATAGTGCGCCCTGTGCCCACTTGGCAGACTGCGTATTGACCACATCGAGAATGCCCACCAAGAACAGCAGGATTGTACAGCCAGCTACTCCGCCCACGAAAAGAGGTCGTCGGCCAATGCGATTGACGACGAACCATGCCGAGATATTACCAATGACACCACATGCACTGATGCCCACACCGAGATTCAACGCATCTGCCGCGGCCATACCGGCAAGCTGAAAAAAATAGGTCGCGTAGCTGAGGACGAACGTCACACCGGCAAATTGTTGAACCACAAAAACACCCATGGAAATTAATGTGCGAATGCGGTCTGTGCCCTTGAAGGCTTTGATATAACTCAATTCTTCCGCTCGCGACTCAGATTCGGCCTGAATTGTGGCGATGATGGTGGTCAGTCGGTGGTTGGCTTCCTCCTGCGAATTGTAGAATGAAACCAACGTCTCACGGGCTTTGTCGATCTTTCCAATCCGGACCTGAAACCAAGGTGATTCGGGTGAAAGTATTGCACCTAGGAAAAGAAGAACGGAGAAGAAGAGCTGGAATATGAATGGCGCACGATAGGCCCATTCATCAACTCGCGTTCCGAAACCCCTCGTGACCGAATTAGAAAGGAGACCCCCAATCCCGATCCCAAGGTTAATTCCGCTGGTGGATAATCCTCTGAGGACGACAGGAGCGAGCTCCGAGCATGCCACGGGTCCCAAAGTCAGGTAAAACCCAACCCCGACCCCTAGAATGAGCTTACTGACGAGGAATGTTGGACGAGTTGTGCTGAATATTTCGCCAAAAATCCCACCCGTGGCCACGACGACGCCCGCGACCAGGCTCAGCCTCCGTCCGTATCTATCGGCGATGGCACTGCAAATAAATCCACCGAAGAAGAGGCCACAGTAGCTGCAAACCCCAAAGGCAGTAAGCCATTCCGCGGGAATGACATACTCTCCGTCATGTATATACCTGAATCGAGAATGTCAGCGAACACTCATATCGACAGCGCATACAAGATGACCCATACCCATACGTGGATCGGAAGGCAGGCACACCGATGATAGCGTTGTTCACAGCCATCTCAAACCCCCCTGTCAGATGATAGCAATGAGTTTATGGCAAGTATAATCAAAAGTTTCAAACGTACAAGCAACAGCGGTCATACACCAAAAGAAAGACCAGCCAACAATCTTTGGGTATCGTGAGCATACAGCAAGAAATGTCAAGCTGCGTTCGGTCTCCATCACGGTCTCAATATGCTCTTGCGACATGGTAGTCTCATCTTTATCTCCGCTCTTGTAGTCTGAGCTCGAGAGCGTTACCTGGGCCATGGTAGGTGGGTGTCTGGTGAGGGTTGGCCACAAAGAGCTCGACGGTTGACTTGACGTATTTTCTTTTCAGCACATCATCGCCATCATCCGTCTTTTATACGGAAAGATCGGTGCTGGTTCTGGTGCGGTCGAAGAAACTGCCTATGGACGATTGTGTACAGGTGCCCAGTGGAGGGATGCAGGGATGACGGGTAAGAATCCGGGGTAATTCTGGGGAATTCCTGTAAGTGACTTGATTGGATGTGAGCGTATTGAGGATGCTTGATAGACTCAATCGCACGGGTGAGGTTACCACCTGGGAAACCTTGGAAGGTAGGTCGATTCTCATCCAGGACTGAATCTGTGTTCTGTCACAGTATAGATGACGAATACGGGTACGATACGGGTACGGTAATAATAGGAGGTCGAAAGCCACCGGAATTTCCAAAGGTGGGAGGGGAAATGTGACGACCTTGGCGTATACAAAGCTTTTCGTAAGGGCTCACATATCATTCACGATTCCCGACACTCCCCTTCCCCGATCTTCCCCTTCCCCGCGCTTCCTCAACGTACCCACCGCATTTATGCCAACAAGTATTCACGCTAACGCTGAAATCCCCGCGAAACGCGTCGCTCCGACAAGCCGTGGAAGCTCAGCCTATGCTCGCAAACGTGCTGTGATTGCCTGTCAAGTATGTCGGTCCCGTCGAACCAAGTGCGATCAGAAGAAGCCCGCATGCTCCTTCTGTGTGTCTATCGGGGCTGAGTGTGTCTCCGACCCACCCGCGTTGTCAGCTTTCGATCCAGCCAGCGTTGCCATAATTGAACGACTGGACCGACTGCAACAGGAATTCAGCCACTTCGCCCGTGCTACAACAACAGCTTCTGATCCCAAAGGTGATGCGGGTTATGAGCCACCGCCGAAGAACATCAATCTAGATCACACGTCGCAGCAGCAAGTTCACCACATTCTCAAGTGGCCAATATTTCGCAATGAGACCAACCCTGCTTCATTGCGAAGCCAATCCCCAAATTCTTCCGTGTCATTCAAGAGTCCCAGTCACTGGCCAGAGACACCGAAATCCACGGATAACGGCGTTATCAATGACGAAACCCATGCCCTACTGCTTGATCAGTTTTTCGTTCATGTGCACACTAGAAATCCCATCCTCGACGAAGTCAACACCCGTCAGATAAGTGGGAAAGTTTTCAACCGAAGGATAGGCTGGGACCTAGAGTCATGCCTCATTCTTCTCGTCTGGGCGAACGGAGCGGTGGGGTGTCCACTCCCTACTCTCGCCCTCTCTCGCAAAGATTTTGAGCAGAGTCAGGGGGTAACATTTTTCTACGCTGCACAACAGCGATTAGGCATCGCCTTTGCCCATACAAACATTCGTTCTGCCCAATGCTTTTTTCTTGCTGGGGTGTTCCTTATGTCTGCCATACGACCATTTGATGCTTGGCGAATGTTTTGCCAAGCTTTGAACATTTGCAAGATAGCCAAAAGGACCATGACCTACAGTCCAGACGAAGCTGGTATTTTAGAAAACCTATTTTGGTCTTCTTGGAAGTCCGAGCGAGAGGTCAATAGGGAGCTTTGGATGCCATCAAAACATCCAGATTTTGAGTTGCCGAATGACTTCCCGGGTCTCCCAGCAATATGCAAAGAAGAGAATCTCAAAACCTGGTATTTTTATTTGTCCGAAATATCAGCCTGGCGTTTAGAAACCCAAGTGGCGGAAGAAAGCACGAGATTCGCCCTCGAGGTGAGTGGAAATCTCGAGGACTTCACGCGGACTGCCAATGGCCTCATGGAACAAGTTTCAGACTGGCAAAGCTCGCTCGCTGCAGATGTTTCCATCACTGATGATCTTGAGGAGGGAGATATGCTACGACTGATACTGAAAGCTCGCGCATTGTATATCTCCGAGTTGATCTCGTGGCCATTTGTCTACGCACTAATTCATGACCGCAAAGAACCGACTCTTGATTGTGTGCAGAAATGGACGTCAAAGGGGTTAGAGACCCATTTGCAAAAGTTAAATAATCATCGTGTACAGTTCTATCATCGGCATGCCGGGACATGGCTTATGATTCGGAGCTGCGCCCGGAGTGTTGGCATTCTGATCGGCGCCTCGAAGTCTCCACGCGCGGAGGATTTGATGCCCAGGAATTGGCGCAGAGCGGTGGAGGCATCGCTTGAAATGCTTCTATTTTGGAAAGAGCATGACAGCACGATTGTGGACGTCGTTGATGATATATACGCTCTTTATCAAGACCTTTGATAGACCTGGCAGGTGGGGCCCATCTTGGACGATATCCCGGCCATGCATGATGCACCAGGTATATAACGATAGGGGCAAGAACTCGCCAAGGCTTAGACTAATAGGTAGAGAATCCCGCAATCCTTATGTCTACATCAGTACGAAGAGTCTTCTGCCGAAGATCGTTATATCCTCGTCGCACTAAAAGCTCACTGGACATCTAGACATGAAGCAAAGGAGCATACCTACTTAGACCCATAGTGAGAATCGCCCTCATGAATCCTTCCTACAAATAAAGCATTTTGCGATACGTTCATTTCCAGCCTGGACATTCTGTCCAGACCTTTCCGTGTACAAAAAGTACAGTGGAGCTTTCCAAGTAGCCAAGGCTCGTCCAACCCTCGTAACCCATCACATGGCCTTCCCCAAAAGTGTCTAAAAAGAACCTTGGAAGTCTCCTAGGTATTCCCAAAACGCGGGGAAGCCCTATCCGAGTGAATTCCACTCCACCGGAACTTTGGACCAGGGGAGTGTCGGGCCAACCCACACCCTTCACACTTGGCCGTTGATGAGTTCCGTGCCCTTGCAACTCTCACTCTCACTCTCTCTCCTCGCCACAACAGACCATTCAAAAAGAGACCATGCTAGCTCACCTGTTTACAGCACATTCGGCTCTTAGCAATTTTCCATCTCCTTCGACTGAAACGCCTCAAAATGCCAAACGTCATTATCAATGGTGAATCCGAAAGCAAACCCAACGTCAATCCATACCGATACGAAGACGCCGTGGAGTCTGTCACGCGGGGTACTACAAGCTTTGAAGCGGCGCGAAACCTTGTTGCCCAACTAGACGGCCGAGAAAGATTGTCCTTACTTGACGGCGATGAGGGGTTCTGGAAGGGATTTCGGGATCTTTTCTACGATCGATTCAATCGAGTCCCCTACATTTTCGGACAAGTTGATCGCCTTGGTATACCCGGTATTCGCTTTTCGGACGGTCCCCGAGGGGTTGTGATGGGCTCATCGACCGCATTTCCCGTCCCGATGGCCCGGGGTGCCACTTGGGATGTGGGTCTAGAGCGCCGTGTAGGGCATGTCATTGGCCTGGAAGCCAAATCGCAAGGGGCTAACTTCTTCTCTGGGGTCTGTATCAACCTACCACGTCACCCAGCGTGGGGCCGAAGCCAAGAGGTCTATGGCGAAGATCCGATACTTCTTGGTGAATTTGGCGTAGCCTTGACAGAGGGTGTTCAACGGCACATAATGGCCTGTGTGAAACACTTTGCTCTCAACTCCATGGAAAATTCTCGCTTCAAGATTGATGTGGAAGTCGAGGAGGATGTGCTCTACGAGGTGTATCTGCCACATTTTCGGCGAGTGGTTGAGGGGGGAGTTGCCTCAGTCATGTCTTCCTACAATTCGGTGAACGGTGAATGGGCTGGACAAAGCGAGATGCTTCTGACCGAGGTGCTTCGTGAGAAATGGAATTTTGACGGTTTCGTCATATCGGATTTCATCTGGGGGCTCAGAGATCCTATTTCATCTGTCAAGCACGGTTTGGATATAGAAACGCCATTCAAACAACAACGGCACCTCCAGCTAAACGCTGCTCTCGACGCGGGAGAACTGAAATGGTCTGATATTGATCGATGTTGCACACGCATCCTGTCGAAATGTCTGCAGTTCGCACAAACGCTTGATGAGAAACCGAGTGTTTCAGTGGTGTTTTCGGATGAACACCGTGCCTTGGCGCGCGAGGTGGCCGCGCGCTCCTGTGTTGTTTTGAAAAATGATCACATCAATGGAAGTCCTCTCTTACCCATTCATCCTGGTAATATCAACCGGATTACCTTGGTAGGACGCCTTTCTGATATTGAAAACACCGGAGATCGTGGCTCCTCGCACGTTTGGTCACCACGCGTGGCCACAATATATGAGGGCATTACTTCTGCTTTCCCTGGTTGTGAGGTAGTACTCGAGACAAGCTGCTCGGTTGAGAAGATCCAACATGCCACAGCGACTGCAGATCTTGTCATATGCGTTGTCGGGTATACAGCTAACGACGAGGGGGAATATGCCGCCCCGACGTTGATAAAAGATCCAGACTTACGCGCCTTGTTCCCACCAGCAATCACAACAGAGGAGAAAGCTCTGGCCCAGTTCCTCGACAACGCAGGTCTTAGAGATAAAGATCGGTCAGACGATGCCTGGAAGAGTGGTGCCGGGGGTGACCGGTCCAGTCTTCGACTTCGACCTGAGGATGTGACCGTCATCGAAACAGCGACTGCATGCAACGCTCGAACCATTGTTTCTGTCGTTGGTGGAAGTGCCATCATTATGGACGAATGGAAATACAGAGTGCCAGCTTTGATTATGAGTTGGTACGCTGGAGCTGAAGGTGGACATGGCCTAGCGGATGTTGTGACGAACTGCGTCCCCCCAAGTGGGAGACTACCATTTTGCATTCCCGCAGATGAGTCACATCTTCCCCATTTTGATACCGATGCCACCAGAATCAAGTATGATCGTTGGTTTGGACAAGCTTTGCTAGACAAGCTCCAGGTCAATGCCGCATATCCTCTCGGTTTTGGCTTATCATACACAAGGTTCAACGCAGTTGACATGCATTTAGGTGCAAGTGAACGAGAAGATGATGACGAGTCGATCGATGTATACGCAACTGTACAGAACACAGGGCCCTATCGTGGAAGATATGTCGCCCAGGTCTATGGTTGCCAAAATCTATCTGAATTTCCCAGAAGGCTTCTTCTTGGTTTCAACGTCTGTGATATTGACCCTGGGAAGCAGGCAACAGTGCGTGTGAATGCTTCGCTTAGGCCACTTCAACGGTGGCGAGATGGCCGATTTATCCTACCCAGTGGTGATGTTGAGATCGAGTTCGCGACTCACGCCGGCGACGCGCACGCTTTGAGATGTGTCTATCAGCTGCGCACTGCCACCTGATTGTATCTGCATATTCGGCGTCTCATCGTTTGCTTTTATTTGACCATGTCTAGACAGTGAGATTTAGCCGATAATATGTCTGAATTCCAATATAAAAACCTCTGCATTTTCTCTACTCCGTAGTCCAGTCGTGTGTGTGACACCGCACTCAAATTTTCTGCCATGACAAACAACGAGCTACTCCAGATTCGGCCTTAGTCCTGACGCTAGGCCCGAATGGGTACCTAGGTCCTTGAGCCGCTCTGCCCCTGCGTCAACTGGTATATGCATCTTCGGATATCTACGGAGTACTCCGTACCTCCTTTGTCTGCGGCCTCTTCATTCTATTCCCACTCTGTCGCTCGCGCAGCCTCTATTTGCGTTTCTCTCTTCTCTTCACCGTGATGTAATATAGCTGATAGGTAGATCTCTCTCTCTCTCTCTCTCTCTCTCTCTCTCTGCCCTTCTTGAACCACCAATGAACTCTTGTTTCTATGATCTCTGGTTTTATGATCTCTGAGCGTTCTAACCCGTAGTCTCATCATACCTAGACTATACTGAATCTTGATGTAATCCAAAGTTTTCAAAAGTCACAGATGTGCAACACCACAGTCTTTTTTTTTTTTTTTTTTGTTTTTTGTTTTTTTGTTTGTCTTGTCCAAACGTACTCCGTACTGCCAGTGCCCGTACGCCCGGGGTACGGCAGTACCTTGGGACGAAGGGGCCCTTTGGTTTTCTGCCAAATTGAGATTATGTCAGCATAGTAATTTTACCATATCGCACAGTATGCCCTGGGGCAGGGCAAATATTGGACTTACTTTGTTTCACTATAAAAGCCATAGAAACATCTAGTTAGCTACAATAATCGTTATCTAGGTATCATCATCGGAATCTAGACTAGAAGAATAAATTTCAGAGGTCTAATTTAAAGAACTAAACCTTAGTATAGTACTTAGTACCTAACGCTAAATAATAAAACAGACCTCGGGAGATAGCTATATAGATACTTTCTATAACTACGAACCATTATAATAAGTGTTTAGTCTAGTAAGATTAACGTTACAGCAGTCGTCTTTTCTATCCTACAATAAGTCTCTACCTAAATCCAACTTAGTGATAGGCTCTACAGTAGAGCCAGAGTCGAAGCTCTAGACTTTAAGCCTAAAGTCTGGACTAGGTTAGGTCTCTAACCGGGATCTCGGGCCTAACCTAGCCTAACGTAGAAGTCTAGTTTAGGGGTGGGTGAAAATGGAGAATTAGTCTAGTATTGTATTACTTGGTAATTGGAATAACAGTAAGAGTCGGTGTGCTACGCGGTGTGCTAAGCGGTATAGCCTTAACTACTATGCTGACATAATTCTGATGCGGCACCTGGGCAGAAAACCAAAGGGCCCCTTCGTCCCAAGGTACTGCCGTAGCCCGGGGGTTAGGGTCCCGACGCAGTCCCGACACTACCCACCGGGCATCGCCAAGAGCAACCTGTTTATCCGCTATTATTAATCCCCCTTTTTGCAATCTTCCCACGCTCGCCCAGCGACGTATTCGCTGATACTTCGCGTATTTGCATACGAAAATTCACCAAGGAGAAGCGCTCGGACTCCAAAGAGGCATATTCGCATCAGACAGAAGCCCCACGCCTCGGTGGTGCTGTAAATCACCCGAAGGCCACTTGAGCAAAAAAAAAAAAAAAAAAGAAAAAGAAAAAGAAAAAAAGCTGTAGGGGAGTATCGGGACATGGCTTTGACTCTCGTGGCGAAGTCTGTAGATACAACATCTAGTCATGATTCATCGTGTGTTACATGTAAGTTTGTCACATTTTTCCAAGTGCTATTAGCCTGAATACCAAAAAATGAGTTTTGGAGGAGAAAAAATACATTAAAATAATGAACCGAAGTGGTTTGACCAGATTCAGCTACTATCGTGAAAAATACGGCGGGAAAGCAAAAAGAAAGCGAAGAGGGAGGCGATCCTAGTACAGTAGGCCCCAGGCATACTTCTCCAATAAGCTCTTGTTCCCGCCCGGGGGGGCCGCGGGGTTTTCGGGCCAAGCAACACGCGTATTGCCTCTTCTTGCTTTCCCCCAAATCACCCACCATCTTTTCCCCCCATGATGGCCCATCTTCGTAGTCGTAAAATGCACTCACTTTATGACGACGGCCCTCTTTGCCTGGGGGGCCTAATCATACTAGTAGATAGTTGGTCTCCCCATCATCCCAACATTGATGATCCTAATACCATCTTTCGGTACTCACGTCACATGTTGGTATGGCCTCCAGGGCTAGGTAGAACTGACTACCTGTTTGGGAAGGTGATAGCCGTCATCGTATCATCCTCGTTGTACCTGTGTAATTTCCTTCAATCCCATTAAAAGGTGTACTTGTTGATGTCGGCCATTCTTATCCCGAAGCAAATATTTCATGCTGGTTGATATAAAATCACGATACTTAGTTCACTTGAAAATTTGATCTACTCGGTGTTTTTTCGAAGTCACTCCCGTGCAAAACGCGCCGATATCAATACATACTATCATCTTCATCGCCGATGCCCTGAATCCTAGCCGCATTCGAGAATACCGTACAAGCAATCTTGGAATACAATGGGGACTGGAATATTGAGGGTGGAAGGTACCAAGGTGGTCGATGCCAATGGCTCCCATGTCAAATTGCGGGGAGCTGGGCTGGGTGGATGGCTCAAGTACAACTTTTCCATTCCTATTCATGCAAATGTCTGCTAATTCCTGCAAGTATGGAGCATTTTATCAATGGATTCTGTGGGAATGAGAAAGAAACCCGACAGGCAATGCTCGAGAGCATGGGGAAGGTGAAATACGACTTCTTTTTCGACCGCTTGATGTATTACTTCTTTACGGATGAGGATGCTGAACACTTGAAATCCCTTGGCCTAAATTGTCTGAGACTGCCGTTCAATTACCGCCACTTTGAGGACGACATGGCGCCAAGGGTGTTGAAAGAAAGCGGTTTCAAGCATCTTGATCGTGTCATCGAGCTTTGTGGCAAACATGGTATCTATACCATCCTTGATATGCACTCTTTGCCTGGGGGTCAAAACCAGGATTGGCATTGTGACAATATCACGGCATATGCATCCTTCTGGGATCAAAAGGACTACCAGGACCGGGCTGTATGGCTTTGGGAACGAATCGCAGACCGTTACAAGAATGATTCGTGGGTAGCTGGATATAATATCATGAATGAGCCAGCCGACCCAAAAGGGACACGTCTGATCGCTTTCTATGAACATGTGGAAAGTTCTATCCGAAAGATCGACCCAGATCACATTCTCTGGCTGGAAGGAAACATGTATGGCATGGACTTCGAGGCATTCATCGAAGCCCTTCCCAATTGCGTTTATTCCATTCATGACTACAGCACAATGGGGTTCCCGGATGGCCCCAAGTACAACGGCTCCGCAGAGCAAAAGGAGAAGCTTGAACGCCAATTCCTCAGAAAGTGTGAATTCATGCAGAAAAATGGGCTACCCGTTTGGAATGGCGAGTTTGGTCCAACATTTGCGAAACCATCTGATCTCAACGCCGAGGAGACCAACAAGTCCCGATTGAGTTTACTCGCAGAACAACTCAAGATATATGAAAGCTTTGGTGCTTCATGGGCTTTGTGGACATACAAAGATGTTGGCCTGATGGGTATGCTTTACACGTCACCTACCTCCGCCTGGAACACCCTCACCGCGGATTTCGTTGCTAAGAAAGAGTCTCTTCGACTTGACAGCTCTCCTAGCTTTGCTGTTGAAGAGATTGATAGAATCCTCTCCCCGCTGGTGAGCTGGATAGAGAAAACATGCCCACAAGCCGGAAAAACCTTTCCCAAGGTTTGGGGAGTTCGGAGGCATATTGAACGCCAGGTTTTCCATGTTTTCTTGGCTCATCAGTACTGTGATGAATTCGCTGCTCTTTTCAAAGACAAAACAATGGAAGAGCTGGAAGAGTTAGCCCGAAGCTTTGCTTTTAGCGAATGCTTGCAGCGGGAAAACCTCGATGTCGTTCTGTCTCAAGCAGTGAACGCCGAGTAGCATGTTGCTTATCTATGTTTCAACCATCTTCTGTGTGGAAGGATTTATTGCTAGTCAAATGCATTAGCCAATCAGTCATCAAAATTTGATTTGGAAATATGACCAGCAAGCGCACCTGGGCAGGTGTAAATGTCAGCTCTAGGAAGGGAAACTTATTATTTTTCCGAAGGAGACCACTCAGGAACAGAGAGACACTGGAAGGTCATGGGTTTAGCGAGTGAAACGGAAGAGAGATAAAGAGAGCAAAATCAGAAACTATGTAAAGAGAATTATCACGAGATTCTAACAAATATTCCTACTTTTTGTCTTTCTTCCTCCTCTTCTTCTCCAACGTCATTGTACTCGTGCATGCTCGCGTCCTAGAGCTGGAGGCACAGTAGTGAGTGTATAAATTGACAATAAAGACATGCAGCCGTTGCAAATAGCTCTACGGGTCCGAATAGCAATTCACACTGCTTATATTCCCGGCAATTTTCATTTTTTTCCAAGTGACGCTGTCTTCCAAGTTGAAGTAGTTGATTTAAATCGGACATAGAGCCTAGGCACAGTCCGGCTTTTGAGTCCACCCATTCGATCCAAACAACTAGCCAGCTGGGCAGGTGGGCGAGCCAGGTCTTCACGAATCCAAAGCTCCGAACTGGGTAGATGAGAAGAGGTCCACGATCAAACTTGTATCGTAGACTTTTGGTATCATGGTATCAAACTGGTATCACCCAATTAGGCTGTTAAGAGGTCAAGTTTAGCTTGTCTCATAATGCCTTAGTATTGCCGGAAAATCGGGTGAAAGACCGCCGAACACACGCGCATTCCAAGTTGCTGCCCAGGTGCCTGCGAGATTAATTCCATCTATCAATTATCAGATTGTCTCAGTATGATGACCACACTGCAGTTCCAAGATTTGGGTAACAATGAAGATTCCCATCACCCCGCGCTAAACCTCTATTGCGAGAGTTTTGTGAAGAGGATGGAATACCCCGAGATCCCGAAAGTATGGCCCAACCTTGACTCGGCCCCGGGCCCCGGGTAGTTGCAAATTAGGTAATTTCAACTTGGAAACTTTCAAAGTTGGAACTTTGGAAGGTCAGGTGAGGTTGTCGGACTTGATAGTACATCCAGCCCTGGAGGGCTAGGTCATTAGTAATTATCCTGCTAAGTACTCAGGTACCTACCTAAGTAAAATATGCGATGGGGAAGTTATATATATCTGGCTTTCACTTTTCAGGTTTCAAAACTTGGAAGCAGCACATCCTGCACTCTTCGATTTTATTAAAGTCTCCGAGATCCTGGGCTAAAGATTTATTCTGAGATCTCACTACTTGCCTGCTGATAATCTATCACCATGCGATTTTGTTCAGGTGCCACCTCCCTTGCTGCAGTACTACTGTGGACAGTGGTTGCTGTTCAAGCTGCTACGCGAAAGGTGTCGGTAAACGCAACTTTAGTGAAAGGTCAACTGAGGCCGGAAATCCAGGGTCAGTATTCAAGCATTAACACGTAACCACCTCTTTCAGAGTGTATCCTTTCCTAACGCCAGATATAGCCTCCCTCAGTGCCAATAGTGGTAGGTTCATTGGGCGCTATACGATTCCAAGGTTGGACTTCTGCTGAGATTTCAGAATTGATCAACGATGTGTTCGCTGGAGCCTCAGATCTGTTCTACGATTTCGTGCCAGAGATAGGATCTCTGTTTCCGCAATATGGAATCAAACATGTGTTGATATGTATGTTGACTTTTGACAACGTCAAATCCCTTGAAATCAGTGGACTCCTTATACATAGTCTGAAGCTGACATATTCAGACAATTTTCCTAATGTGTTTCTGGGGTGGGGACAACCCGGAGAGCGCGGAGATCCTTTGGAAAACGAGAACTACAATTGGACAGCGGTACTTGTTCTGTTGATAATATCCCTCGATTTTCCTGGCTAATCTGTGGCATAGGCTGACGAATATGTGAAGTATGTTGTGTCTAACGGGGCAAAGGTATATTGATTCATTTGTGATTTTTCGACGGTGTCCATATTCATGAATCTCTCTTAGGCGATTATTCAATTTCAGGTGTGTTACTTCCCGATCTCAATTCCAGCATTTGCAAAAGCGTTCTCATTGGGGACGCGCGTTGATGCCATCGTATCATAAAGCCCGCGAACGGCACCAATTCAAACATTACCTCGCCTTCCGACTTAGGGAAAATTGGGTTTATGATAACGGATCGTTATATGTAAGCTATGCTAAGAATCCTATGATCTATGAGGCCCCAGACCTAAGTCCCATGAAGGAACGGAGCCCACAAATCAGGTTTTACTGATGCTATTGAGCTTTTCGAGTTCTACCCTGAGATTGATCTAGTTTGTTCTCCGAATCTCCTAGCGTTGAGCAATTTTCTAACACCTGATCTTTTAGGTGGACTCCCCAAGTATTGACACCAGCTACGAGCAGATGTTTGCTTACTTTAGTAACTTCAGCCATGGGGTTTCTCGTGCTAGGTATGTCTGCTATTTTTGTTTTTTTTGTTTTTTTTTTTTTTTTTTTTTTTTTTTTTTTTTTTTTTTTTTTTTTTTTTTTTTTTTTTTTTTTTTTTTTTTTTTTT